TGTGTATATTTCATACTGTATAGTTAACCCTTTATTTCTATGTATAATTTATTTCTAGGACATTGAAAGGTGCTGTGTATATTTCATACTGTATAGTTAACCCTTTATTTCTATGTATAATTTATTTCTAGGACATTGAAAGGTGCTGTGTATATTTCATACTGTATAGTTAACCCTTTATTTCTATGTATAATTTATTTCCTAGCTGCCACCGAAAAGTAAACTAACAATTACTTATCTTGGGTTAAGCACAATTTTTTGGATATTATACTTGTATTCCTCTAGTTTAAAATAAGCTTCATTAAACCATTAAAAGACAATACTTTCCAATTATGTTTTTTGTTTTTTATAATTTCCATAAATAACCATTATTGATATAATGCATATATATCATTCTAAAGTGTATTTGTATATAAAAGTAGAAATTATAATCTATTTTCTTTATTGAAATATTTTTCTTGAGACCATTAAGCAATGGATATTCAAATGCATGTAGGAAATTACTTATTTATTTGCTTTCTAGTTTTATTAGGTTGAAAAATTGCTTAATTGTTTGCTTTAGTTTTATTAGTTTGAAAAAATATTATATAAAATATAATATTGCTAAGCAGCATACTCTAATAATCAGAACTAACATATACAAAACATATCACATTTTTCAGTTTTTTTCTAGTTTGAAAAGTTGATAATATTTTGCACAGCGTTTTTGAATGTTTTTTACATAGTATACAAAAAATATACTTTTAATCAAAGTTGCATTTTAAGAAAGAACTACCAAGGCCTCGTAGTTAGAGCACTCGACTCCCAATCTTTGTGTTGCGGGTTCGATTCCCTTCACTGAACATAGTCGCTCTTTTAGCCATGGGGGCGTTATAATGTGACAGTCAATCCCACTTTCTATTGGCTAAAGAGTAGCTCCAAAAGTGGGCGGTAGGTGGTGCTGACTAGTCGCATTCCCTCTAATCTATCACTTCTAAATTAGGGACAACTAGCACATATAAACCTCTAGTACATCTTAAGAAATTATCCCTACTTTTTCGCTCTGTTTCATCATTTTTTGCGCTAAACATTTTACGTGCTTTAAACTAGACCTCAGTATTAATTTACAGACATCAATAATATCTACATATCGAAAACACGGTATGTGAATTACAAACAAATAAAAGAATAATGAAATGTAACTACATCAAAACGTAGAATTTACATACTTATATAACTAGGGGAAATGTTACAAAGTTGCATAAGGTTATTCAAGAAAGCAGGGCGTAAATTTGGACGAGAAGTAAGAGTGTGCTAACGAGACAGACAAATAAACATATTAAGCGGAGCTTAATACTAGCTGGCCGCTCTCATAGAAGGTACGTTTGTATTCCTTAAAAATCACTTCTGTTCCTCAAACATTTTCCTTCTTAATTGCCAAAAAAGCAATAAAAATCAAGGAACAGTTGTTGTTTTTTTATTTTTGGTACAAAGTTACATAATGAGCTACAGTCTGTCTACCGCGGGGAATCAATTTAAATAGAAAGGGCGCAGAAAGCCCTGCATACTTTATTTAACTAAAAGTTATTGTTATTCAGTGTTTTTGCTTCTTATTCTCCTCCACGTAACGACCATATTCATTGTATTTTCAGAACTGTCTATGGCTTGAACCTAAACACGTTTTGGGTAAGTTTCATACATTACAAACATACTAATGAACTTAGGAAAAAGTCAAAATATTAGACAGGTCACGACAATTTCTCGACCCAAACTGCCAATGAAATTATATTCTAATCGCTCTATACCAGAGTTATTTTACTTCGTAAGTTCAACTGTTTTGTTTTTCTTACTGAATTAGTAACATTAAACTTCTGTAGAAGAACGAAATTTCATAAAAGTGATTGTTTGTTTGTTGTTATGAAGCACAAAGCTATACAAAGGGCTATCTGTGCTCTGCCCACCACGGGTATCGAAACTCGGTTTCTAGCAGTATAAGTCCTCAGACATACCGTCATAAAAGTGGACATTTATAATTTCTAATAGCTGTGATATTTATAATGTTGAACATTTTATTTTAATTGACTCGGTGGGTCAGTGGTAAGTTTGCCGACTTATAACGCTAAAATCTGGGGTTCGATTACCCGCAATGACCACAACGCAGCTAGCTCGTTATGCAGTTTTGTGTTAAAACAGACAAAGAATTTATTCACACTAGTTTGAGGCCATTTAGCTGGATTGAAGTGAACAATACTGAAACATAATGAGCGCGCATTGTTCTTGTAACTCCTGTCTTTGGTATGAAAAATTAATCAAGATGTGAGTTATAAAGAGAAAACAAACCATATTCAGATTTCAGGTATATCTATGTGTATTTGATAGGGTGATTCTACAAGAAAGAACTATAGATAAGTTAAGTCTAAAATATACCGTTATGAAGTGCGTAATTAACGTCGGAAGATTTGACACCTATAATTTGTTTTACTGCTTACTGCTGTTTTCTTCACAGTAACAATATAAGATATTTCTTACAATAGAAGCCTAAATTAGGTCCATGTTCTTACCTTCTGCTTGATCGTAAAAGTCACCGTTAAAAAAATTTGCTTTCATTTTGTGGAAAATAGATAAAAGCTAAGAAATACATACTTTGGAATCTGACTAAGGGCTCTCTGTGTCTAGGGTAGCAAATTCAAATTAATATTTATTGTCTCTTAAAGAGGAACATTTAACGCAAAATGACTCTGCATCAAGACTGCTAAGAAAGACAGGATAATTAAATAGGTCTGAAAGAAGAAACTACTTAAAACCATCCAGTAGGGTAAGTAGTAGTTGTTTTACATTTTAATCATGAATTAAGGGTGATCCCAAAACTTCTTAAAGTGGTAAGACAGTTCAAAATCGTCTTGAAGACAGTAATTATCCCAAGCTTTAGTTCTAAAGAAGAACATTATTAAAAACTGTCATGAAGTGGGTAATTATTTTGTATTTTTGGCTCTGAAGTGAGGGGAGGGACAACGCAAAATCATTATGAAAACTGCAGTTAAGCACATTTTAACCCTGAAGGACATAATCAAAAATCGTCCTGAACTGCGTGATTATTCTAATTGAAGGCACTTAAGCCATACCAGAAACTCCACTTTTAAGTTCTTGTGTTTTAAGACAAAAAGGCTAACCAGTAAAAGTCCGTATAGACTAGGCTTACTTATGGGTTTACCTTTGAGATATTGTCCTCTTAAATTACACCTAGAAAGTTCGTAGTTAATTAGAAATTGGTCAATATGTTGTTAATATGTTATTTATTTAAGCTTGAAAGGTACATTTCAATTTATAGTATGCTTATAGAATCTTACATATTTGTAAACACTAACATAAAATACCACACTCTACTGTGAGATTCAAAGAATCATTACTGATTCACAGAGACCAAGTGTACCGATCGATCACGGTCCTTTGTTATGCCCAATTAATTTTATAGCTACCCCAATAATACCCTTATAATATCCGGTCATGGTATTTGAGCACGTATAAAACGTTTGGAACCGCTAGTTTGTGAGTGGGAATATTGACACAGTTTCAAAAGTGTCGCTCCTGGGATCTCAAAGGGAAGGCCAGGAACACAAAATCCGATGCCAGATTCGGGTTCAGCGACCCTCAAACCCTACTCCTAGACCCCATCATGCTTGAGTGACATTCCGGGCGCGTTTGGGGAGAACTACGCCATACAGATTAACATATCCCGGGGGATTACCCCGAGTCCGCCTGCCAAATTTGATCCTGCTATTACCAAATCTGTGGGAAAAGTTGGGGGATAAAGAAATAAACATACAACGTGTAACAAAGATTCAAACACGATTTCGTGATAAAAAACAGAACCCAACAACAGTGATATTATGCAGATCATTTTATTACGTGTTTACAAGCTACCTAGTGGTAAACGCTACATTAAATGTGTTTACAAGCTACCTAGTGGTAAACGCTACATTAAATGTGTTTTCAAGCTACCTAGTGGTAAACGCTACATTAAACGTGTTTACAAGCTACCTACAGTAAACGCTACATTAAACGTGTTTACAAGCTACCTAATGGTAAACGCTACATTAAATGTATTTACAAGCTACCTAGTGGTAAACGCTACATTAAATGTGTTTACAAGCTACCTAGTGGTAAACGCTACATTAAATGTGTTTACAAGCTACCTAGTGGTAAACGCTACATTAAATGTGTTTACAAGCTACCTAGTGGTAAACGCTACATTAAATGTGTTTACAAGCTACCTAATGGTAAACGCTACATTAAATGTGTTTACAAGCTAATTAGTGGTAAACGCTACATTAAATGTGTTTACAAGCTACCTAGTGGTAAACGTTACATTAAACGTGTTTACAAGCTACCTAGCCGTCTCTAATTTAGCACTGAGAGACTAGAGGGAAGGCAGCTAGTCATCCCCACCCACCGCCAACTCTTGGGCTACTCTTTTACCAGCGAATAGTGGGATTAACCGTCACATTATAACGCCCCCACGGCTGAAAAGGCGAGCATGTTTGTTGTGACAGGGATTCGAACCCGAGATTGCGAGTCGAGCCACCTAACCACCTGGCCATGCCGGGCCTCATTTGAGTTAATACAGCACTTTAACACTTTCCTGTAAAGGTTTCCTTAAAGCAGATACAATATTCCTCCTATTAACCTTCTGATTTTACATTCTTCTATCTCATTTTTCTATGGACTAAAACTTGATGGAATTGTTTGTAATATTTACTTGTGTATTCAACATTAGTATACAGTCTAGGTACCTTTACATTGAGTGTACGCACATGAATTCCTTTTCCACTTCACCCTTGCGACACCTCAATCCCACCCTTCTAGCAAGTGGGCAACTACCTCACGCGAGTGGGTAGTGCGTGTGCGGGTCTGCAGTTTCCTGCTGCCATGTTTTGCGGCAAGACTTAAAAGAGAAAGATAATGAACGACAGAAGGAAAAATCGACATATCTACTACAGAGTTTTGCAGTGAAGCATGCTTGTCAAGCGCAGCGTGCGTGCGTACATGCTGTATAGCATACTGTTTGAAAATTAATGTTGTACATTATTCTACTCTGGGGATCACGGAGACGCGTTTTTCTATTATTTCATTACGGTCTTTTTCCGTATTGTTTCTACGCTTGTAAGGAGATTCCTGAGCTTGTGGGACCGAGCAGTCGAAATTTCGTTAGTGATAGACTCAAACGATTTCCTAATGAAAATAAATCCAATTTTTTTAAGTGTTAAGGCTTCGAACACCATTCGCTGCTTGCATGGTGTATAATGGTTGAATCTATTAAGCCTAACTCTATTATGGTTAACTTCAGTTTATTCTGTTCGCAACAGCACTCGGTTTTGAACGAAATATTTTATATTTTCATTGCTTCACGAGGTAGTTTCACAGATTTTGGTAATTTATTCTGTGGTGAAGGGTGTTTCTACTTATCGTTCTCCATTAGAGGAGACTTTTTAAACCTCTCATTATGCCTCTAGTGCGAATCATAGACAAACGGTCTTAAGTAATAACGAACACAGTATGCCTTATGTTGTTGTTTCGTGACATGATTCTCTGTTTTGACAATATGGGTCTGTCAGTTCGTTAGAGTAGAAGTTATATACAGTGAATTGTTAAGTTTGAGTAGTTAGTAGTTGTGAACTGATTCTTGTTAACTACTTAGTTTGTTAAATAAATAACATAGCTCACGTTTAAGTCGATAGGAAGCGTTTAATTAAAGCCATTCTCCGAACATTATGGGCAACGAAACTAGTCAGGAGCAAGGTGGAGAACCGACAGCCCGAGAACCAAGTGGACAAGCTTTTCCAGGACGATCACAAGAACAGACGCAAAGTGGATTGGGGTTTAGTTCAGTAGGGGGGCTTTCAGCCTCCCAACAATCTCAAGCCCAAGAGAGCAAATTTAGAACTTTAGGAAGTACTCCGGACCAAGGAAAGATGACACCTACGTTGCCTGTACAAGTGCCGGCAGCACCACAACTTGATCTTAGTGATCTCTCCGAGGAGGAAAAGTCCAAAATTTTATCCGTTATGGCAAAGGCAGAGCATATGGACAAAGATCTAGAAATACATAGACAGTAAGTTTGATTGTTATTTTATAATACAGGAAAGATTATAACAACACAGTTTAGAATTCTGATCATATTATTGATATATAATTAAGAGATGAAATACATAGCTTGAAATAACAAAAATATATGTAGCTTAAATCTTCAGTTTAACAGCACAGGTTGAAGTGAGTCAGGGATCTAAAAAAACAACAACAGGAAATCATTTTATTTTTAAAGACATGTTTTGCCAATATATATTCAATATATTTTTAATCCTGAGGTTTCTGTATTTATCACAATAGGTAAAGGTATCGGAGAACATTTTCATATATTATGGGTGACAAATATTTGTTTGTAATTAAACACAAAGCTACACAATGGGCTATCTGTGCTCTGCTCACAGCGGGTATCGATACCCGGTTTCTAGCGTTGTAAGTCCGCAGACATACCGTTGTGCCATTGGGGGAAGGCGTGTCAAATATAGCAATGGAACCACAGAAACACATTTTTTTCTTTTATTTTAAAAACCATGTAAAAATTCTTTTTTTTTCGAATTGAACTAACAGCTCTGGCATGAATGATAAGGCAGTAGTATATCTTTTTCAACTTGTTTATTAGTACGTTTCAAAACTAAAATATAATTATTTTGTACAGATCAGAGGTTTTACTATCAAAAAATGCTTTTTTGGTATTTTGAAACGCAATTGGTGGCCAATTCTGAGTCAGGTTTTTGATGCTCATTTTGCATAACTATTTACTGCATTCTTGAAAAAAATACTTAAATTGAATCTTCTACAGCCGGGGGGGGGGGATCTTTAACTACCAGACAGACAATTTTGTTTTCCTAGGTGATATTTAGAATATCAAACAGTATAAAGTAGTTCGTCTTAAGCCTTCTGTATAACCAGTTTGGTCGTCAAGGGAAGGAGAGAGAGAGCAAATAAGACGTTTGTTTGTTATGGATTTCGCGCAAAGCTACACGAAGGCTATCTGCGCTAGCCGTCCCTAATTTAGCAGTGTAAGACTAGAGTGAAGGCAGCTAGTTATCACCACCCACCGCCAACGCTTGGGCTACTCTTTTACCAACGAATAGTGAGATTGACCGTCACTATATAACGCCCCCACGGCTAAAAGGGCGAGCATGTTTGTTGGGACGGGGATTCGAACTCGAGACTCTCAGATTGCGAGTCGAGCGCCCTAACCACCTGGCCATGCCGGGCCCGCAAATAAGACAAGAATTGAGATAATTTGAATTTAAAAATCTCATGTGATCAGCTTGATCTTAAATGTAGTTTACCTTTTACTCGGCAAGAAGGATCACGAATTGGAGTAACTCTAATTCAAATTTCCCATCTAATTATTGTTATTAAGTGAAGTTTAAGTGCTAATTGTCAGATAATATAACATAACATATAAACGCATAAATTACGCTCTAATACATTGATATATTTAGATAATATAACATAACATATAAACGCATAAATTACGCTCTAATACATTGATATATTTAGATAATATAACATAACATATAAACGCATAAGTTACGCTCTAATACATTGATATATTTAGATAATATAACATAACATATAAACGCATAAGTTACGGTCTAATACACTGATATATTTTGCTGGTTAATCCTCTTTTGTAAACTGCTAAAGTTTCAGAAGTTGTGAAATAAATGAAATGTGGCAATTCAAGAACATTTAAAAACTGGAAAAGGTGATTGTTCTCGCCTTCTTCTTTCAAACTAAATCAATGTTATTACTGTTTATTTAATAGAAATCCTTTTCTCCTTATAAAACTACTAATAATCACAATGATTTTTAGTTATTATAAATAACTTAGTTTTATACGCTTGATCTATGGAGTTATCATTAAAGGAAGAATATTTTAAATCGAAAAATATTTTTGAAATTTCTAGTAAATCACCAACTCTCATTATATTTCAAGCGTAAACGACAATTCTTGAAGATGCAGAAGAAGTATCCTAAGAAAGATATTTTTAAATCAACAAAATATATTATCCTAATTACCTATACCGAGTGTCACGAAAACCAGTTAAGTGTTTCTTTTTTTAGAGTTTCAGCTTAATTTCCTTATTAGGTGCAAGCTAATTAACAGCTTTGGTATAAATATGTATCTATAAAAGCAGTTCTTCATTGATTTGTCATTTCGTGCTTAAACGGGGATTTTTAAAACAAGACAAACACTGTGTTAACCTCAACACCTCTCGTACCATACCCGTATACAATAACTCGTTGTAATAATGTATGTTCTAATACGATGACGAGGAACCCACTTTGAGACTAATAATGGCTGGAGACGGCTTAAATGGGTAATGAAAAAAAAACAAAAAAACTTTAATACAAGTTTAACATGACAGCAAATGTACAACGTTTCGACAAGGTTTTGTC